GTTTTGAAGACTGCCATTCACACTGACATTATTGTTATAACCAATGTGATTCACATTGGCATTATTGTTCTGAACAATACGATTCACACTTTCATTGTTGTTCTGAACAATGTGATTCACATTGGCACTGTTGTGTTTTTACAATGTGATTCATACTGACATTGAAAAAGAGCTGCATAGCTCATTGATTCCTCCAGTCTAAATAAAGATTCTGATTATTGTTGTGAACAACATCATTCACTCTTTCATTGTGGCTCTGAACAAAGAGATTGACTGTTACGACTGTTCTGGACAATTTTACTCAAACTGGCGTTGTTAACAATGTGATTCACACCGGCATTGTTTTATTAACAAAGACTTTACGGTCATGGGTGTTCTGATCAATGTGATTTCACACTGGCATTGTTTTTCTTAACAAAATAATTTACTGACATTTTCTTCTAAAGAATGTGATTCAAACTCGTTATTGTTCTTAACAAAGCGATTCACTGTCATTGTTTCAAACAATGCAATTCGCATTGGCATTATTGTTCTGAACAAAGTGCTTCCCACCGTCACTGTGTTCTGCACAGTGCTTCCCCTGTGATATTCTTGTTGTTCTGAACAAATTGAATAATTCACACAGTCATGATGTTCTGAACAATTTCATTTGCACACACAAACTTTTCACACACCAGATTCACACACACATGCCCCACTCACCACACAAACTGCTCACACCCACCACACTCACAAACCAAACACACCACTCACTCCCCCCCAACACTAACACTCCTCACACACACCATTAACACACACAGCCACGCCAACTCACACTCGACCCACGTACACCCACTCACCCATAACGCACTCTCCCACACAACACCCACTCACCCTACTCGACTCACTCCACTCATACCCACCCAATCACCATTACACACACACACCGGTCCTTACCAACTCACGCACGGGTTCCCATCAGCGTGGCCCTCTCCTCTTCGTCCTCGCCTACTGTGGCAGTCCGGGGACTCCGGTACCGGTCCAAGACCCCCGACAATCTGGTGGGACCGCGAACACCGCAGTCCCCACGTCCGCTCAGGAGGATTTCCTCCCGCAATTGAGCCCGGCTTGGGTCCCACGCGGTGGCGACCCCCGACGGGCCATACCAAGTGTCCCGCTCACGCGAGGGGGGTGGGAGGGGGAGATTGTTTCTACCGGACCCGGTTTAAAATCCCCCAGGTTCAATACAGTTCCCGATAATTTCTATATAATTAATCGATACTATATATTGGTTTTAATCACGTCAATTAATGCTGTGTTAAATTAATTTTAGTTCGGAAAAGAAAGTTGTTGAAATGGGTGCAAGATCCGGGTTGTTAATCATTAACTTCCTACTCCGAGATCCCTCCTGCCTCTCCCCTCTTCCGTGGTGTGTAGTGGTATAGGCCATGTAAATTGCTCTTAAGCCATTTCCATTGACTTCAATTGACATCCATGAGCAGAACTTTGTCTTCTGTCCAGAATCTGTATTTAGACTGCAGGAGGAATCCCATGAGCTATGAAGTATTATGGGCCGTCCATAAATGACGTCACGCGATTTTGGACGATTTTTGACCCCCTCCCCCTCGTCACACGGCGTCACAAAAAGTCAGACCCCCCCCCCTCCTCAAATATGACGCCACAAAGCTCTGCCCCCCCCCCCCAATAAAACATGCTTCAAATCGCTTTAAACTATTGTCATTGTAGTGCGTATTTGATGTGGCGCTGCACTCTGATGTTGTAGGAGAAAACATTTATAAAAAGTCAGTTTAATTAAGTAGAACGTGTTGTCTATATTTATTTAAAGTTGCGCGTTTTCTCACCCCCCCCCCCCTCGTCACACATCTTCACAAATGTCTTACCCCCCAACCCCCCCCCCCTAAGTGCGTGACATCATTATTTGGACGGCCCCTTGTACCCAACGTTGGTTCAGCGTTGGCCCAACGTTGCATTGTGATTCGAAACGTTGGCCCAAAGATGCCCCCACGTCCCATGTACGCTGGGCGTCAGGCTTGTATCAACTGGTCCTGGATCACCAGACGTTCATGCAAGAGCAAACTACAAACTCGGGATCGTGAGTTCGATTCTTGGCCACGGCTACCATCAGTGGTGTGAGACCTGAGCCTTTCCAACTCCATCAACCCGCACTGAACCAGCGTGGTGAAGTATGGTCAAACACCCCCCCCCCCCCTGCACTCTATCGGGTCTCTCGTGCCCCCTGGTCTCTCTGGGCAGTGGTCTCACTCACAAGTTCCGAACTCTCCTCACATTATGAGACGTTCGGAAAGTAAGACGCACCCAAGACGCTGTGCACGGGGTCAATAGAACCACACGGACGGAGGTGCTCACACGCACACAAACCGGATTGTAAGACGCACCCCAACGTTCGCTCACAAAATACGGCAATACACAAATGTACACACACACGTACACACGTGTGTGTGTGTGTACGTGTGTGTGTATATATATGTGTGTGTGTGTACGTGTACATGTGTGTGTACATGTGTGTGCTGGGGTCTCCTCGTGTCTCCGTGTCTCATTCCATGTCTCCCCCCACCCAAGCCGCCCCCCGTGTCTCACTCACTCACTCAGTGACTCTCAGTCTCTCTCCGACTCCCCGCGTCGCCCCCCCCCCTTGACCCCCCCTCGTCCCCCCCCCCTTGTCCCCCCCCATGTCCCCCCCTTGCCCCCACCTTGTCTCCCCTTTGCCCCCCCCCTTGCCCCCACCATGCCCCCCCCTTGCCCCCACCTTGTCTCCCCCCTTGCCCCCCCTTGTCTCCCCTTGTCCCCCCCCTCTTGCCCCCCCTTGTCCCCCCATCTTGTCTCCCCCCCCCTTGCCCCCCCCGTGCCCCCCTCTTGTCCCCCCCCCTTGTTTACCCTTGTCTCCCCCCTCTTGCCCCCCCTTGTCTCCCCCCCCCTTGCCCCCCCCCCTTGCCCCCCCTTGCCCCCCCCCCGTGCCCCCCCCGTGCCCCCCTCTTGTCCCCCCCCCTTGTCTCCCCTTGTCCCCCCCCCCCCCCCACCGTGTCTCCGCCTTGTCTCCCCGTGTCTCTCCACGTGGTGGCGATGTCGCCCCGCGTTTGGGATGAACGGAACTGGCGAAAGAGCGAAAGAGAAAGAGGGCGTGGGGAGAGGGGGGAGAGAGAGAGGGGGGGGGGAGTTTAAGAGGGAGAGAGCGTGGGGAGAGCGAGAGGGGAGAGCATAAGAGGGAGAAGGGGGGGGGGGTATAAGAGAGAGAAGGGATACTGAAGAGGGGAGGGGAGAGAGAGAGAGACAATAAGGGGAAGTGAAGGCGGGAGAGGGAGAGTGGAGAGGGAGATTGGGGAGCTACGGGGAGGGGGGGAGTTCGGGAGAGGCAGAGAGAGACGAAGGGGAGGCGAGGGGGTCGAGGAAGGGAGAGTGAAGGGGGAGAGAGACAAGGGAGAGAGTGGAGGGAGAGTGAGGAGGGAGAGAAACAAACTGCACGGAGCCGCGCCCGGATCAATTGCCTCCTCGGTGGGTACGAGACATCACACAACCACCACCATTGTAAGCTCATCACTATTGTTGTTACCATCAGCGACATATCATGATCATAATTAGTTCACCATCAACATCATCGCCAGCGTCTCGTTATCAGCAGCAACAGCAGGAGACCATTAGTAGCATCGCTGCAGCAGCAGCAACAGCATCATCATAACCATCATAACCATCATAACCATCATAACCATCATAACCATCACAACCATCATCATAACCATCACAACCATCATCATAACCATCACAACCATCACAACCATCATCATAACCATCATCATAACCATCACAACCATCATCATAACCATCACAACCATCATCATAACCATCACAACCATCATCATAACCATCATCAGAACCATCACAACCATCATCATAACCATCATCATAACCATCACAACCATCATAACCATCATAACCATCACAACCATCATCATAACCATCACAACCATCATCATAACCATCACAACCATCATCATAACCATCAGCAGCATCATCATAAAGGGCAACATCAGTAAGGGCAGCTGCGTGCGGGTGATTGTGCATCAGCCGTCACAGCCTGAGATCAATCACAATTCATCATCAACAATAATCGCGAGAATGATGGTCGTGTTGCTACAGTATATATGTAGACTGTATTGACATGTCACACTGTATGTCATGCCATTATCACCATTCATCACCACCAACACCAACCACCCACATCCCCATCATCACCACCATCACACCTCCACCCTCCCATCATCATCGTCGTCATCACAGCTCCCTCCATCATAATCAATAGCCCCATCATCATCACCACCTTCATCACTCTCACCCTCATCATCATCACTGCTATGACAATCGTGGCAATATCAATTACCATCATTATCACACCACCCCCATCACCATCATCCCATCCCCATTATTACCCCATCTTAAAAATTATCCCGCATGACCATTATCACCATCACCACCATCATAACACCACCATCATCACCACCATCACGCCTGCCGCATCACCACAATGACTATCACACCACGCCCATCATCACGTCACCATTATCACACCCGCATCACCCTATCACCATCACCACACCCCCATCACCATCATCACACAATCATCACCATCATCACCACCATCACACCCCATCATCACCATAATCACACCCCCATCATCCCATCAACACCATCATCACACCCCCGTCACCCCCATCATCACACCCCCATCATCACATTCCCATCATCCCCATCACACCCCCACCATCATCCCCCCCCCCATCACACACCTCCCCATCACCACCCCCATCATCACATCCCCATCACACCACCATCACACCCCCATCACCACCCCCATCACACCCCCATCACCACCCCCATCACACCACCATCACACCCCCATCACCACCCCCATCACACACCCATCACGCCGCCGTGGCCACGGGTGGCGATGAGCGCCGTGGGTGAGGAATGCGGAAGGCCCCATTGTGAGAGGCGAGGGCGGGGACACGAGTCGTCCCCACTGCGCTGCTGCTGCTGCTGCGTCTCACGACTCAACACCATCACCACCATCATCATTACCACCACTCCTCAACAACACCAACACCACCACCATCATTACCACCACTCCTCAACACCACCAACACCACCACCATCATTACCACCACTCCTCAACAACGCCACCACTAACCACCACTCCTCAACAACACCATCACCACCATCATCATCACCACTAACCATCACCACTCACTCCTAACCACCACTCCTCAACACCAACAGCCTCATCTTCATTACCACCATCATTATTACCACTCATTACCACCACTCCTCAACACCACCAACACCACCACCAACACCACCACCATCATTACCACCACTCCTCAACAACCCCACCACTCACCACCACCACTCACCACCACCACCACTCACCACCACCACTCCTCACCACCACCACTCACCACCACCACTCACCACCACCACCACTCACCACCACCACTCCTCACCACCACCACTCACCACCACCACTCACCACCACCACCACTCACCACCACCACTCCTCACCACCACCATCACCACCCGCTTGGTTCCCTGCGGGATTCGCTCGGGGGACTCTTCTCGTCGGGACGCCGCCACCACCCCCCCTGGTTGGTGCCGGGACCCCCCTGGGGGTCTCATGGACCCCCGGGGTGGGACCCCCACGGGGGTGTGGGGGGGGGGGCCCCACGAGGTGTGGGGGGGCCCCCGAGGGGGGGTGTGGGGGGGGGGACCCCCACGGGGGTGTGGGGGGGTGTGGGGGGTGTTCAGTGCCACGGGGTTCGGCTCCGGGTTTCGCAATGGGCGGCCCCGCGTTGAACGCGGCCTTGAGACTTGTGTTGTGTTAGTGCTACACTAGTGTCATGTGTGTGTTACACTAGTGTCATGTGTGTGTTACACTAGTGTCATGTGTGTGTTACACTAGTGTCATGTGTGTGTTACACTAGTGTCATGTGTGTGCTACACTAGTGTCATGTGTGTTAGTGCTACACTAGTGTCATGTGTGTTAGTGCTACACTAGTGTCATGTGTGTGTTACACTAGTGTCATGTGTGTGTTACACTAGTGTTATGTGTGTGTTGCACTAGTGTGTGTTAGTGTTACACTAGTGTCATGTGTGTGTTACACTAGTGTCATGTGTGTGTTACACTAGTGTGTGTTAGTGCTACACTAGTGTCATGTGTGTGTTACACTAGTGTGTGTTAGTGCTACACTAGTGTCATGTGTGTGTTACACTAGTGTGTGTTAGTGCTACACTAGTGTCATGTGTGTGTTACACTAGTGTCATGTGTGTGTTATACTAGTGTCATGTGTGTGTTACACTAGTGTGTGTTAGTGCTACACTAGTGTCATGTGTGTGTTACACTAGTGTCATGTGTGTGTTACACTAGTGTCATGTGTGTGTTACACTAGTGTCATGTGTGTGTTACACTAGTGTCATGTGTGTGTTACACTAGTGTGTGTTAGTGCTACACTAGTGTCGTGTGTGTGTGTGTTAGTGCTACACTAGTGTCGTGTGTGTGTGTGTTAGTGCTACACTAGTGTCATGTGTGTTTCACGAGTGTGTGTTAGTGCTACACTAGTGTGTGTGTGTGCTCTGTGTTAGTATGTTGTGTTTGTCACAGTTGAGAGCGTGTTAGTATGTTGCGTTTATTACAGAAGTGTGTGTGTGTTAGTATGTTGTGTGTATTACAGTAGTGTGTGTATGTATGTGCTGTTAGTGCCTGCTACATTAGTGTCGTGTTAGTATGTTGCGTTTATTACAGAAGTGTGTGTGTTAGTATGTTGTGTGTATTACAGTAGTGTGTGTATGTATGTGTTGTTAGTGCCTGCTACATTAGTGTCGTGTTAGTATGTTGTGTTTATTACAGTAGAGTGTGCACGGGGCGTGTGTGAGTGTCGCGCGTGTTGGTACAGTGTGTTGGTACAGTGGTTCAGTGTGTTAGTGTAGTGTGTTGGTACAGTGTGTTGGTACTGTGTAGTGTGTTAGTACTGTATAGTGACTATACAGTACTAACACACTACACAGTACTAACACACTGCACCAACACACTGCACCAACACACTGCACCAACACACTGCACCAACACACTGCACCAACACACTGCACTAACACTACACAGCACTAACACACTACACTAACACACTACACAGTATAGTGTGTTAGTGTAGTGTGTTAGTGCTGTGTAGTGTGTTAGTACTGTATAGTGTGTTAGTACTGTGTAGTGTGTTAGTGCTGTGTAGTGTGCTAGTACTGTGTAGTGTGCTAGTACTGTGTAGTGTGCTAGTACTGTGTAGTGTGTTAGTGCTGTGTAGTGTGCTAGTACTGTGTAGTGTGTTAGTGTAGTGTGTTAGTGCTGTGTAGTGTGTTAGTGTAGTGTGTTAGTGTAGTGTGTTAGTGTAGTGTGTTAGTATTGTGTAGTGTGTTAGTACTGTATAGTGTGTTAGTGTAGTGTGTTAGTACTGTGTAATGTGTTAGTGTAGTGTGTTAGTGCTGTGTTAGTGCTGTGTAGTGTGTTAGTACTGTGTAGTGTGTTAGTTTAGTGTGTTAGTACTGTGTAATGTGTTAGTGTAGTGTGTTAGTGCTGTGTTAGTGCTGTGTTAGTACTGTGTAGTGTGTTAGTGTAGTGTGTTAGTACTGTATAGTGTGTTAGTGTAGTGTGTTAGTGTGGTGTGTTAGTTTAGTGTCAGACGATGTCCCGGGGCCTAATTCCCCTTTGAAGTTCAACACAAAGAGTGGAGTGGTCTCCACAGACACGGCACTCCATTGTGTGTACGGCGTGTGGTGTGTGTGTGTGTTGTGCTGTGTGTGTGTTGTGCTGTGTGTGGTGTGTGTGTGTGTGGTGTGTGTGTGTGTGGTGTGTGTGTGTGTTGTGGTGTGTGTACAGCGTGTGGTGTGTGTGTGTTGTGGTGTGTGTTGTGCTGTGTGTGTGTTGTGGTGTGTGTGTGGTGTGTGTGTGGTGTGTGTTGTGCTGTGTGTGTGTTGTGCTGTGTGTGTGTTGTGGTGTGTGTTGTGGTGTGTGTACAGCGTGTGGTGTGTGTGTGTGTGTTGTGGTGTGTGTACAGCGTGTGGTGTGTGTGTGTGTGTGTTGTGGTGTGTGTGTGTTGTGGTGTGTGTTGTGGTGTGTGTTGTGGTGTGTGTGTGTGTGGTGTGTGTGTGTGTTGTGGTGTGTGTACAGCGTGTGGTGTGTGTGTGTGTTGTGTGTGTGTGTGTTGTGGTGTGTGTTGTGCTGTGTGTGTGTTGTGGTGTGTGTGTGGTGTGTGTGTGTGTGTTGTGCTGTGTGTGTGTTGTGGTGTGTGTGTGGTGTGTGTGTGTGTGTTGTGGTGTGTGTACAGCGTGTGGTGTGTGTGTGTGTTGTGCTGTGTGTGTGTTGTGTGTGTGTGGTGTGTGTGTGTGTTGTGGTGTGTGTACAGCGTGTGGTGTGTGTGTGTGTTGTGGTGTGTGTGTGTTGTGGTGTGTGTTGTGCTGTGCTGTGTGTGTGTTGTGCTGTGCTGTGTGTGTGTTGTGCTGTGCTGTGTGTTGTGTGGTGTGTGTGTGTGGTGTATGTGTGTGTTGTGGTGTGTGTGTGTTGTGGTGTGTGTGTGTTGTGCTGTGTGTGTGTTGTGCTGTGGTGTGTGCTGTGGTGTGTTGTGTGTGTGGGTTGTGCTGTGGTGTGTGCTGTGTTGTGGTGTGTGTGGTGTGTGTTGTGGTGTGTATGTGGTGTGTGCTGTGTTGTGGTGTGTGTTGTGGTGTGTGTGTGGTGTGTGTGTGTTGTGGTGTGTGTGTGTTGTGGTGTGTGTGGGGGGGGATAGAGCGTTGCACCCTCGCGCACGTGTGGGTCTCCTCCAGTGGCTCCGGTTTCTCTCCCACGTGTAATAATAATAAACACGAGTCGTCGTCGATTGGCTGAACACGTCTTAAAATAAAGAAAACCAATGCAGCAGGACCTCCTGATGGACAAATAAGCAATTTATAAAATAAGCGTGTGTGTGGCCTGTTAACAGCCCCACGCGTGCACACGCCCTGCGTTGAGCCATATAAGCTACTTGCACAAGGCCTGTCTGTGTGTTTTAACTTGCCCCAACAGCCTGTTAAGGCTATACGGGGGATCTTTGTCTTTTGGATGAAAGTGTGTGTGTGTATTTACAGTGTGAGAGGTTGTGCAATTACAACTGTGTGAATTTATTATGATGAATAATGAGTTGTGTTTGAGTCGAGAAGTGGGACACGGGTGCGTGAAACGCCTTTGATACAAATGCCAGGGCAATGGTGCATGTGTCAGGGTATTGATACATGTTCTAGACCACTTTTAGAAGTGCAAATCCATTGGTACACATGCCAGGCAATTGGTGTATTTAACAGGGCATTGCTACACTCCCAGGACATTACATCCATGCCCCTTGTGCATTCTGGACACCACTGCCCCCAGGCAGCACGGAGGAGAAAATCCGACGTGGGAAGCGAGGCCTCTGGACGGGAAACTGAGTCTCTGGAAGTTGAGTTGAGACCCTCCTCGATGTGAAGTTTATTTGAGATCAAAGGAGTTGAGACCCTGGGAGTTGAGTTGCCTTAGCCGTGTGATTGGCTGCAGGGAGCCGGGCCGCAGCGCGTGGCTGCATGGATCTCGAGTGAATTGGCGATGCCCATGGGGTGGAACGCTGTTCGCTCTGCTCGAGGGAGAGCGTGGCAGAGCTACAGAGGAACGGACCGAGAAAGTGAGAGAGCGAGAGATGGTGCTCCTCGTCAATACTGTAATGCGAGCACCCACGTGTGATGAGATGTGATGAGATGTGATGAGATGTGATGAGATGTGATGAGATGTGATGAGGTGTGACCTTGCTCAGCCAGGTCAGGTCGTGTAGCGGAGAGGATGAGGGTTCTGTATTGGACAAGATGAGGGTTCTGTATGAGATGAGACGGGGGTTTTGTTTCGGATGGGATGAGGGTTGTGTATCGGATAGGACAAGGGTTCTGTCTCGTTTGAGACGAGGGTTCTGCATCGGATCGGACTGGAGGGCGCCTCTGTGCGGTGGCGAGCTGCGTGGCACTGCGCCCAAAACTTTGTGTTCACACGTCCCCCCCTCCCCACCCCTCCCCAGGACGGGGCTGTTAATGAGAAACAGGCCTCAAGCCGTGGGCCGGGTTGAGCCCTCGACGCAGCCGAGCCTGGGATGTTGCCCCCCACTCCCCCTCCCAGCCCCCCCCCCCCAGCAGTGTCAGCCCACTGCTGGATAAGTGTGGCTCGTTGGGGGTTTCCCGTCTTCGAGAGGCAGCGTGTCGGGGGGAGGGCGGCCACCGCCGTTGTGAAGGGGACCCCGAGTGATGGAGCGCCGAGAAGCTGACGCGTCACAGCCTCTGCCTCGGTGCATCGGGTTAACCAACTTGGCGCGCCGGCTCTTACCTACCACGACGTCACCGCCGCCCGGTGATCCGTCACCTCGTCATCACTGTGCATCTACTAAAGTGACCCCCACGTGCCGCCCTCCCATCTTCACCCGCAGGTTGACAGGATGGCTACTCGCAGGACGGTGCCGGGCCGAGGCCAGGATGTGGACGCGGAGTCGATGCTCAGCGGACTCTCGGCGGACGAGCTCAAGCAGCTAGCGGAGGATCTGCAGGACATGGACCCGGACGTGAGACGCCGGGGAGAGACGCCGGGGACCCAGACATGAGACACGGGGAGAGAGGCACGGGGAGAGAGGATCTGCAGGACATAGATCCGCATTAAAGTAGTTAAAGATCTCCTGACTTAAATTGAAATGGCTACGCCATTGTGTGCTGGCATCATGATCCAAATTTGCCAAGAAAAATAATCAACCACAGCAGCTATGATCGCCCCCTATTGGCTGACTAATGCCGCTTGCAGGCCAGGTGCTGAGTCACATAGTGCAGCACAGGGACATCTGCCACTGGGGGTGCTCCTTGGAAATGCATTGAGATGAGATGCCAGTCGCTTGTCGCGTGTGAAGCGTTCTCAGAGACGCCACCGACATGGAGGAGGGTGGCTCCGTCTAACACTGCTACTCGGTCTCATCGTTATTACCCATAAACCCCACCAACAATCGGAGGACGGAACATTTGCTTGTTACCTCCCTCTCTTGCCTCGTCCTCCCTCTCGTCTCCATCGCCTTCCTCTCCTTCATCTCCTCCCTCTCCTTCATCTCCTTCCTTTTCTCCCTCTCCTCCCTCTTCTAGAAACGTGCATTTAGACTATTCGGCTGCTCTCCATTTCCACATGATAAGCCACTTCATTGAGCTATTATTTGTGGCCAGGTCACTTTTGACAAATAAATATGTAGCTCAGTGGGCATTACCTGGTAGAAGAAAATAAAAATAGTTTCTAGTTTTCTCCTCCCTCGCATTCCTCTCCTCTCCCTCTGTCCATCTCCTCTTCCTTTCCTCCCTCCCCTCCCTCACCTCCTCCTCCCTCTCCTTTCCTCCCTCCCCACAGAACGCGCTGCTCCCCGCCGCGTTCCGACAGAAGGACCAGACAACAAAGGCACCGGCGGCGCCGTTCAACCGCGAGGAGCTCCTGCGCTTCCTGGAGACGCAAGCGCGGGAGCACCGTGACCGCGAGGACCTCGTGCCCTTCACCGGCGAGAAGAAGGGTGAGGGGAGGAGGGGGAGAGCTGGGAGAGGAGGAGGAGGGGAGAGGGAGTGGAGGAGGGGGAGGGGAGGGGAGGGCCTGGGCTTAATTATAATGACCATCACAACCAAGTGGTGTCACTGCATGCAAACTTAATGATGTGGTTGCAAGATAATTACGAAAGATGGAGTCGCTATCCCCTATGCCTGTCGGGATGGGCACGGGGGGAGGCGAGAGGGCGTCCCCGTGAGTTACGGTTACGATCGCGGGAGGCTGGGGCTGCTCAGAGGCGATGATTCTCGCTCGGTGATAAATCGTGGAGCCGGGAGCAGCGACGCGGAACGTAGAGCGCGTGCCGACCATGCCGTGCGTGTCTGTGTCGGTGCGTGCATGCGTGTGCGTCGACTTGTGCACACGTGTCTGTGCGTCGACTTGTGCATGCGTGTCTGTGTGTCGACACGAATGTGCGTGTCTGTGCGTGGTGGCGGCGGCCGTGTGGAGTACACATCAGCAATGGGGAGACAAAGGCGGCTGGCCGTGGTGCCGTCCACCCATCCCCTCCTTCTGTGCGATGTGCCACGCTGGCCTGGACAGGAGGGTGCTGCTATATTGGGTTTTAATTAGAAGATGTGTTTCGGCTAATTAGTGATGAGTGTTTGTTATTATTATACAAGTGGGAGGAAACCGGAGCACCCGGAGGGAACCCCTCCGTGCGCGAGAGGGCAACGCTCTACCTCCTCCTCCTCCACACAGATGGCGTCAGTCCACGTGCTGTGCCACCTTCTCTGTCGGCGTAATCGGGCGAGAGTGTGTGAGCGCCTCATTTGAGGCCGAGTCGACCTAGGGGAGGGCCCAGGAATGGTGATGCCCCTACACACGGCAGCAGAAACGTCACCCCCCCCCCCACCCTGCGTAACCTCGCCAGGAACCCCGTGAAGAATGAGTTGTGAGAGCCTCCAAGGTTTCCCCGGAGTACATAGCCTCGCTCATCACCGCACGGAATGACGGACAGTCGGACAAAGTCCACGTATATCAGTGGGCGAGTATCTGGAGGCACTTTGCACTTTGACCCCTGCCACCCCCCCCCCTTCTCTAATTCCCCCCCACCGCCACCCGGCGCTCACCTGTGCACAGGTAAGGAGTTTGTCCCGAAGGTGAAACCAATGCCGGTGGAGGAGAAAATGGCACTGGACCCCGAGCTGGAGGAGGCTCTGTCCGGAGCTACGGACGTGGAGCTGTGCGACATCGCTGGTCAGCGGCACCCCAACACGTCGCACCATACACGCACACACCCCGACACGTCACACGCACACACCTCGACACGTCACACACACACACCCCGACACGTCACACACACACACACACACCTCGACACGTCACACGCACACACCCCGACACGTCACACACACACACCCCGACACGTCACACGCACACACCCCGACACGTCACACACACACACCCCAACACGTCACACACACCCCGACACGTCACACACACCCCGACACGTCACACACACACACACACCTCGACACGTCACACACACACCCCGACACGTCACACGCACACACCCCGACACGTCACACACACACACCCCGACACGTCACACGCACACACCCCGACACGTCTCACACACACACACACACCTTGACACGTCACACGCACACACCACTAACACGTCACACGCATACACCACGACACGTCACACGCACACACCACTAACACATCACACGCACACACCCCAATGTGTCGCACCGCACACACCACGACACGTCACACGCACACAACACGTCACACGCCACACACCCCAATGTGTCGCACCGCACACACCCTGACGACGGCTGTATGTACGCATGCGTGTAAACACACACACACACACACGTACACACACACAAATACCACGCATGCATTAACCGTGTGTGCACATGACAGCCATTCTGACCCCTACGCTGCCTTGTGCCCCCCCCATGACCCTCGTGTACCTCTGTGACCGAATGACCTAATGACCCCGTGGTGACCCTGTGACCCCTACCTCACCCGCAGCCATCCTGGGCATGCACACCCTGGTGAGCACCCCGCAGTACTACAGCGCCCACAAGGGGACGAGCCACGCGGACGGCATCGGCAGTGAGTTGCATCATCACCCTCATCGTCCTCATCACCCTCATCGCCCTCATCGCCCTCATCGCCCTCATCGCCCTCATCGCCGTCACGCCGTCACGCCGTCACCATCGTCGCACGGCCTGCACGCAGGGCCGAGTCACATGGTGTCGCACAGGGACCGCTGTCGCTGGGGGTGCTCTCTTAAAATGTGTTGGGATTTAGATGCGAAGCAACTCATTTTGAGCGACTGAGACGTAATTTTTTTTGCATGAATGCAAAAAAAATATTATTTATGTACGCACGTGTTTGTGTGCGCATGCGCACACAAGCGCCTTGGTGGCGATCGGCAGTTGGGTTTGTGTGTTTGTGCGTACACGTGTGTGTGTGTGTGTGCGTACACGTGTGTGTGTGCGTACACGTGTGTGTGTGTACACGTGTGTGTGTGCGTACACGTGTGTGTGTGTACACGTGTGTGTGTGCGTACACGTGTGCGTGTGTGTGTGCGTACACGTGTGGATGTGTGTGTGCGTACACGTGTGGATGTGCGTACGCGTGTGTGTGTGCGTACACGTGTGTGTGCGTACACGTGTGTGTGTGTGCGTGCGTACGCGTGTGTGCTCACATGAGTCTGTGTGTGCTCACATGAGTGTGTGTACGTGTGTGTGTGCACAGGTGTGGTGCGTGCCGAGCCCATGCGCCCCATGCCCGAAGAGCCCCCCAACCCCACGGACGTGGAGGCGACGCTGCAGCGTATCCGTGACAACGACCCCCGCCTCCAGGAGGTCAACCTCAACAACATCAAGGCAAGCGGCCCCCCACAATCACAGGGCCCCCCCCCCCCACCATAACAGGGCTCCCCACACTCGGTGTCTTCTCAGCATGACTGGAGGGTGATTCGGTGTGACTAAGGGGGATTTACGGGTGAATCTGAAACAAGAATGCCTTGGGTAGACTTGAAGCCGACTCAGAGGTGACTTGATGGTGACTTGATGGTGACTTGATGGTGACTTGAATCTGGCCGCTCGACCCCACAGAGCATCCCGATCCCAACGCTGAAGGATTACGCGGAGGCGCTGAAGAGGAACACCCATGTCGCGTCGTTCAGCCTCGCGGCCACACGCAGCAACGACCCCGTCGCCCTGGTGAGGCCCCCACCACCTCCTGAGCGCTCCTCACCTCCTCGCCGCTCCTCACCTCCTCGCCGCTACACACCTCTGCTCTACCCACCTCTTCCCCTCAACACCTCCTCACCTCCTCACACGGGGCAGCTCGGATCACGTGATCTCCCGGTTGGTCTGCCCTTGCATCGTTGTCCCGTTTCCTCTCCTCGGCATCTTCGCGATCCTCTTGACTCCTGTCCCCGCCAACTCCCCCGTGCCCCCCACCTTGCCCCAGGCACTGGCGGACATGCTACGGGAAAACCGCGCGCTGCGCAGCCTCAACGTGGAGACCAACTTCATCACAGGCAGCGGCATCCTGGCCATGGTGGAGGCGATGCACGAAAACGACTCGCTCAGCGAGCTCAAGATCGACAATCAGGTGGGGCGCGGGGAGGGGGGTGTGGGGGGACGGGGATTGGGGGTAGTGGTGGCGATGTGGGTGATGTTACAGAGGCCGCTGATGGTTGATGTAAAGATGTTGGTATTGTTGATGATGATGTTGGCGGTGATAGTGCTGATGTTGGTGTTGGTGATGTTACAGAGGCAGCAGCTGGGGAACCACGTAGAGATGGAATTGGCTCGCCTGGTGGAGGAGAAGCCGACGCTGCTGAAGCTGGGATACCACTTCCTGCAGCAGGGGCCCCGCACGCGGGCAGCAGACGCAATCACCCGCAACAACGACCTGAGTGCGGAACACGCACCGCACACGCACCGCACACGCACCGCACACGCACCGCACACGCACACTTGCCCACACACCCACGAATGCGCACACACCATAACTCAAGTATGTCAGGTGTCTGTGTTTTAATGTTTGTATGTGTGTATGCAATCTAAGTTTTTGTCGCGAGGGGTGGTGGCGCAATAGTTAGTGCGCTGCTGTACAAACCCAGTGACCTGAGTTCAATTCCCGCTCACGACCAATAAGTGGCGAAATATCTAAACTGGTTCTGGGCCTCCATGAGGTGAACTCCACCTTTAAATGGGTACTTGGTGCGGTGTGTATAAAACATCAGCAGCAAGGTGCGGTGCTGGTGGCCACCCACCCACCCACCCGTGCCCCATGCCGGCCTTTGTAGGTGCTCGTCACGTACAAGTCTGTTGATGGCTACACTTGGTATCTTTGCCTCTTCTGCAGTTCGACAGAAGAGGCTGGAGGGGTGAGACGCGGCCATCCACGGAGAGGACAGCTGGGCCACGGCCACCCTGGGCCAACACTGTCCTGGCCCCCCTCCCCAGCTGCGATCCCCTCGCCCGCCCTCCCGCCAGCACCACCACCACCCCACCCGCCGCCACCCTCCCCCTTGGTGCCACCCGCACTGGAGTCGGCACCGTCGAGGTCACGTGACCTCGTGACCCCAGCCTCGCCTGGACGGGGACCAATTGACGCGATGACGATTGGGACGTGACAGCTCTCCTTCCGCCCCCCACCAGCTTCCACCACCCATGGCCCCCCCTCCCCCGGCCTCCCGTGATTGATCAATCTTCCACGACATTCGAAGTGATAACAATTCGGCCGAAATTACAACCATTACCATCGTGATGCGATGGTTAAATCTTTCATCGTAACCATCATCGTCATCACCGTCATCATCGTCATCATCATTGGTTTACAACTCGAACATTCCTGACCAGCCATCAAACCTGGGGACAATTCCACGGATGTCCTCACTTCGGTCCAATCCAACCGTGCTCCAGGTTTTCCAGATAGAAATCCGTGGCAGCTCTCTACCCCGGCTATGTTTCCGTTACATTCCCACGTACAATTCCCGCGGCGGTTCGAAATCCGAGGAAGCTCCAATTTTTCGCTCCAAGAAATCGTGATCCCTTTTTTTCCCGACCTTCGGAGCCTAAAAAAGGTGCTTCCGTGGATTTCCCACGATTATCCTCGCCGGATGGGAGCAGCACCTTGTTGCACGCGTCGGGGCCTGCGCCAGGCTTCTCCACGTGGTGTAACCGTCGCCGTTGTCGCCATCGTCATCGTTTTGATATTTTGTTGCCGATGAGGCCGGCGGTTGCATGTTTTGTATCGTTTTGCTAGGGGTCATCTTAATCGCGTTTTTCATTCTCGGGGTGGGTTTTTGTCTTTTTGTGTTTACGTGAGAGTTCCGCCGTCCTCTGCCATACATCGCCGCGTCGCGCTGCAAACGACGTGCGGACGTCGTCGTCGCCGCCGCCGCCATATTAACGAGGTCGGGGTCGAGTAACTGAAGGGTCGCCACTCCGTCCTGGTGTTCCCCCGGATCGCGTCGTCGCTCGTGGACAGGAAGAGAGGCGGCCGCTGCAGAGCTGGCAAAGAAATCTGTCGGTCTTCCCTCGTAACATCAACGCTCGCGGTTATTGTCCCCTGTGTAGGAATATTGACAGTAATGCGACACCACTCGAGGCAATCCTACCTACAAGTACCATATTCTCCAGAGGCCGACAAAGACAAAGGTCCGCCGTACAGCTTTAAGCAAACTTTTGGGGAAAGTACCGTTAGCGGGCACTTGTTGAAGGCCGGCACGAGGTGGGTGGAGGTTGCCAGCGCTGTGCCCGACCGCCTTTGTCTCCCCAGTGTTGATGTTCCATACACTGCACCAGCTACTCATTTGAGGCCGAGTCGACCTAGGGGAGGCCTCCGTCATCGTCATTGGGTCATGTGAGCGGTAATTGGAATTGGGGGGGGTAGGGGTCTCCCAGGTTTTAAGCGCCGCAGTGGCAAGCTGCTAACCGCTGTGCCACCGCTCACTGCGCGTCCAAATCTGGCCACGCACACCGCTCTCGCAGATTAAGTCGCGCCCCCAAGTTTGGCTTTCAAATGCCGGAGGGATGTCGTGCGTCGTGTGAACCCGGAGAGTACGACAGCTCCTCTTCCTCTGCTATCGCCAGCGAGATCCTCCTGCTCCTCCAGCGCCCGATTATTGTGCGCGTGCGTGTGTGCGTGCGTGTGCGTGCGTGCGGGTGCGTGTGTGCGTGTGCGTGCGTGCGCGTGTGTTTGCGCGTGCGTGTGTGCGTGTGTGTGCGTGTGTGTGCGTGTGTGTGTGTGCGCGTGAGTGTGTGCGTGTGCGTGTGTGCGCGTGAGTGTGTGCGTGCGTGTGTGCGCGCGTGTGTGCGCGTGTGTGCGCGTGTGCGCGCGTGTGTGCGTGTGTGTGTGCGATCTCGGTGGCTTGACAAGGCGAGCCCAGAGGACCTCGTGGCCTCGACCTCGTACGTCCCCGACAACGATGTAGGCGGCCGGCACCCCCCCGCCCCCCGCCTGTTTTGAGCGCGAGAGAGAGAAGTGGAGAATTCAGCAGAGTTAGGCGAGTTCTCAGGGCAAGCTAGGAGACGCAAGTGTCCATGCATTGAAGCGCAGGTGGGTAGAGGTGGGGGGGGGCTCGTGACAACGCCCCCCACGCCCCCCCCCCACCCCGCGTGTAACCGCCAACTTGACGTGCGTGGGACCCCCGAGCGAGGGGGTCCCCTTGGTGTGATTCACCCCCCCCCCCCCCCCCCCCCCACTTATGCTGGGCCTCCTCTGGGTATTTTAGGTCCCCCTAAAAGGTAGGCGGGTTCCCAGGTATGACCGTTGGGTGTCGAGGGCTCCCCCCCCTCCCCATAGATAAGACCCCACCCCCCACCCCCGTGGAAGTGAAGCCAGCCCCCCCTAGATTATAGCCCCTAGGTGTGGGTCCCCCCCCCCCCGTCCCATTTTTTTAAACAGCCCAAGGTGTGACGCCCCCCCCACTCCGCGCTCCCAATATTCGTGTGTGGGTCTACCCATACTTCACCGCAGGTGTTGGGGAGCAGCCTCCCACCCCCCTCCCCCCCCCCCCCCCCCACGTTTGTGGGGGGAGGGGTGCAATGAATCGTGGCTCTTTATTTTTGCTTTGGGGAAGTTCACGGCTACAGCAAGAATCCGGGTGACGTCACACTAACGCATTCCGGTGACGTCACCACACATTCTGGTGACGTCACCAAACATTCCTGAGCTATGCACCCCCCCTCTCAATCCCCCCCGCCCCCCTCCACGGGGGAGGGGCGGGGTAGGAACTCGACCCCCCGCCCGCCCCAATTCGCCATCTGACGAATTGTGGGGGGGGTTTTATCTTTTGGCCATACTTCACCACGCTGGTCAATGCGGGTTGGGGGGTTTGCGTGGGAGCATAGAAGTACAGCGCTACCTGCCCTGTGTTGTCCACCATATCGCCACCCCGCCCGTTACATCGACCCCTGATATACGGTGTCCCCCCCCCCTGGCATGGGAGTCTGGACGACTGAAAGTGGTCCTTCACGCGACTCTCAATACACAAGCCTCTCTCTCATTCGTTCATTGCAGTCTCATTCGTGAAGTCGTGCGTGAGCCACCTGTGCTACAACAAACAAATAAAGTATCGGTCATCGTGAGCACGGAGGACTCAGAAGTGTTCATTCGCTTGCAGAACGATTTGAACCGAGGCCTCGAGCCTCGTTTGCAGGAGCGTCCTGCTCACGTGGGGGGGGGGGGGGGGGGCATGGTCGTACACAACAACAACCAAAGATCCCCCGTGTAGCCTTTAACAGGCTGTTGGGGCAAGTGCTGTTCGCGAGTAGACAGAACGGTACCACGCCCGGCCGTCTTTATCTCCCCCAGTGCCGATGTTTTCACACTACCAGGTAGTCATTCAGTGCTGAGTCGACCTAGGGCGAGGCCCAGGGACCGATCACTGATATTGGCCGTTGACGATATTGAAACAACTCGGGTCGCCGAGTTCATTGGCGAGTGCGCTCACCACTGCGCCACCGCTCTCCGCACACGCACACCCCTAATCACACGTTACTCAAGTCTCTTGCACAAACACGCTCAAAGCACGTGCACACATCCAGTGTAAACTACACACACCTCGTGTTACATAAACACCGTAGACACACAGACTCCCTTTATAGCCTTTATCAGAATGTTGGGACACGTCCTGTCGGCGAGTAGCACCTATGAAGACCAACACGGCTCACGAGGGGGTCATGTGATCAGCTGCTGCTGCTGCACATACAAGAAGCCTCGCTGGTGTTGGCCGTGAGCGGAGATCTCACTCGGATCGCCGGGTTGTGAGCGCGACCACAGCACTGCCCCTCCATGCACCGCACGCACAAACAATAGTTACGGACTTTACCAAAGCGGGCAATTCCGACGTTAAAGACCCAGTGGCATCACCGGCGCGGCGATGAACACGAGCGGCGATTCCCGTCTCCACCCGTCGCGTGAACGACCCCGGACTCGCTGCTGCTGCTGCTGCTGCTGGGAGGCAATTGAGATGTGACAGAGCCACGCTGTTAGCAGCAGCAATATTGTTGTATACCTACTCTGGTTATCAAAACCGGTTTCCTGTAACCGCTACGAAAACTGGTTCTGGTTTGCGGGACAATCATGGCTACAACCGCAGCTGTGATGTAGTTGGATCGTGGCTGGATTATTTGAATGAACCCCTAACCTTGAATCCTGCCTGATCCTTCCATGCAATCTAAATGAAATGCGTGAGTGGAGTTTGTGTGCCCCCCACCACCAGTTTTTCTGAGTGTGGGGGGGGGGGAGCGGTGGCGCAATGGTTAGTGCACTGCGTTACGAACCCGGCCACCCGAGTTTGATTCCCGCTCGCGTCCTGACTAATACCTCAACCTGTCCTGGGTCTCCCCTAGGTCGACTCAGTCTCACGAGTACCTGGTGCGGTGTGTACAACATCGCCACTGGGAAGACAAAGAGGGCTCGACATGGTGCTGGCAACCACCCCCTCGTCTACCGTGACGGTCTTCATCGGTGTTCCTTAACAGCACTTGCCCCAGCAGCCTGCTAGAGCAGTGTTCTTTACTAATGTTCAGAGGGGGGCGGCCCACTTTCGCCGATAAGACGCTACACATTTGTAACCATTGGGGTTTGGAAGCACGGTGGGGGGGGGGGGGGTCACATCTGCTGTGCACTGTCGAGGTCCACTCGCCAGGGGCCGCACTAAAGGCCACCAGGGGCCACACTAAAGGCCACCAGGGGCCACACTAAAGGCCGCTAGGGGCCGCACTAAAGGCCGCCAGGGGCCGCCAGGGGCCACACTAAAGGCCACCAGGGGCCACACTAAAGGCCGCCAGGGGCCGCCAGGGGCCACACTAAAGGCCACCAGGGGCCACACTAAAGGCCGCCAGGGGCCACACTAAAGGCCACCAGGGGCCGCACTAAAGGCCACCAGGGGCCACACTAAAGGCCGCCAGGGGCCACACTAAAGGCCGCCAGGGGCCACACTAAAGGCCGCCAGGGGCCGCCAGGGGCCACACTAAAGGCCACCAGGGGCCACACTAAAGGCCACCAGGGGCCACACTAAAGGCCACCAGGGGCCACACTAAAGGCCACCAGGGGCCACACTAAAGGCCACCAGGGGCCACACTAAAGGCCGCCAGGGGCCACACTAAAGGCCACCAGGGGCCACACTAAAGGCCGCCAGGGGCCA